GGTTTAAATAAGAAATTTGATGCAAAATTCTTACATATTCTTTTAACCACGTAGCAAACCCTTTTTCTTTAATTTTGGTCAACTCCTCGTCATTTACGTCACCATACATGTTGTATACTTGTTCATCAAAAATCCTGCACAATTTATCGAAAAACTTGTAAACGAATTAATTTAAAAAAGTTTACGCCATAAATAATTAAATGTATAAACGAACCTTTCAAAAGGTAGAACTTCCTCGCAATTCAACAATACAAAAGTATGTACCATATGATAGTCTTTTTCAGATAAGTAGGCCTCGCTAGCCTTACCACCACATCTTCCTTTTCTGTAAAATATATGGGGAATATTTGCATTCGTCGGATAACTAGGGCCATCACCGCAATGGGATGATTTTTTTGTACTTCTGCTCTTTGCTCCCACATTATCTTCAAAATAATATGAGGTAAAGAATGATATTTCCTCATTGATATACTGTTCAGCAATTGATCTTTCAACAAAAGCTTTCTGTTTTGCTTTTTTCTTCAAATGGTACATAAATCTTTCAAACGGGTACATCCACCTAAACAAAATATATAATTAAACAATCATCAGTTATATAAATAAGTATGCATATATAAGTCTTATATATTAATTAAACGAAACACAGTAATTAATTATAACGTACCGAAATTGAACTGGTCCACCAAGTTCTGCTTCTCGTGGTAGATGGATTGGTAAATGTTCCATCACATCAAAAAATGACGGTGGAAATATTTTTTCCAGATTGCAATTTACCAGAACTATGTTTTGTTTCAGCACGGTGATATCTTCAACTTTAAGCGTCCGACTGCAAATCACCCGAAAAAATGAGCTGATCCCTGCACAATAACTACGTATCAAGTTTAAAAAAATATATTGATCATACATGATAGACTCTCGTATACATGTTGTGGAAGTAGTTCTGCAAATGCTATTGGAAGCAATCGTTGCATAAAGACATGACAATAATGACTTTTCATACCCGTTAATTTATTCCCTACAATATCAACACATCGCGCCAGATTTGAAGAGTAACCATCGGGGAATTTCACATCATCCTTCAACCACCGAAAACTTCTCCATATACACGAAAAACTGGAACCGGTGCTTTCCCATCTTCTGTAAGTTCCAACTCCTTCCTCAGACAAATTGATTTTATATCCTTCCTTGAGTTTGGATTGTCCTTCGGCTTTTGAGGTACATTTAACACCGTGTTTATGATGTTATCGAAAAAAATTTTCTCGATATGCATGACATCAAGATTGTGTCGCAACTTGTGATGTCTCCAATATGGCAATTTCTAAAATATACTTTTTTTGTGCCAATTATGATATTCGCCATATCCTTGAATCGTCAAATGACCATTTCCACCGACTTCTGCAGTAACCCCTAATCCATATGATCTCACACAATCTTCAATCCGTTCGAATAATATTTCATCTCCCGTCAGTTCAAGCGGACTAGAATCACTTACCACGCGATTCTTACGAAAATTCTTCTTCTTTCAGCGCAATGCATGATTCCTTGGTAAGAAACGACGATGACAATCAAACCAACTCGTTTTTCTCTCGTTCGGCAACCAAAATGCGTCAGTCTCATCCATACAGTACGACAAGCTAGCCGACCATGCGTTGTCCAACCAGACAACATCGAGTATGCTGGAAAATCACTAATTGTCCACATCAGTACGACACGAAGCAAAAAATTTTGCTTTATTGACACGTCATATGCCTCAACCCCAATACTCCAAAGGTCTTTCAACTCTTCTATCAACGGTTGAAGGAAAATATCCAAACTCCTCCTAGGATGTTTAGGTCCCGGAACTAATATTGAGAGAAATAAAAATTCTCTATTCATACACATGTCCGGAGGTAAATTGTAGGGTGTTAAAATCACCGGCCATAGAGAATAATTTGGACCAGACATCCCAAATGGATTAAATCCATCCGTGCATAATGCTAGATATACGTTTCTAGTCTCACTTGCAAAATCAGGAAATACCTGTTGAAAGTGTTTCCATGCTAAACCATCGGATGGATGATGCATTTCTCCATCAGGCGTCGAATGCTCGCCATGCCATCGCATAAATGATGCTGTCTTTTCGGATTGATATAACCTTTTCAAACGATCTGTTATAGGCTATAAAACATTCTCTTCAAAGGAATTAACTTGCCTTTCTTTGAAGCTTTTCGGCATGGTCGATATCTGTCTTTCCCGCAGAAATGACATTCCTTCAATTCTGCATCTTCTTTCCAAAAAATCATACAGTTGTCTTCACAAACATCAATCTTCCGGTAAGGTAGAGCAAACGTACGCATCAGACTCTTCATCTCATAATATGATTTTGTTGCAGTGTTACCTTCCAGAAGATACTGTTTAAACATCTAACTGAAGCCATCCATACATCTCTCCGAAAGATTGTAGTCAGTCTTCATATTCATCAATTGTGAAGATAATGATAATCTTGATAGCCCTTGTACGCAACCTTCATATATCGGAGTGTTCGCCGTGTTAAGCATGTCATAAAATCTTTTCGCTTCAACATTTGGCTCTTCTTCCATATATGGAGAAGGAGAAACGTTGGGAAATGCATCATTCATCATCTCTGCATATAGATTTCGGTCTTGATCTTCTTGAAAGATCGGAGGTAGCGACGTGTTTTCCACAAATTGTTCTTGCATTTGTGAAACACGTGATGATGACGACGTATCATACGTTTCTCCATGAGCCAGCCAAACATAATAGTTTGACATAAAACCTCTTCTATAAAGGTGTTTACAAACTTCATACTGACTTCGCCATCTTTTATTCTTGCATTTTGAGCACGGACATGGTAACTTCGAACTCTCAATATACGACGTTTGACTTGTTGCAAATGCCATAAAATGTTGTAATCCTTTATACATCCACATTCTGGATGAAAAAGACATTTTTCTGTAAATAATTTTTTTTTCGGTAATAATTTTTTTTTCTATCTATGCATCCATAAACTGAGCGTGCGGCGGGTTATATAGAAGAAACGTTGCGACGGAATTGCGACCGATATTTTCTGTCGTAACCCATTTGCGACAGAAATGCGACAGAAGTGCGACATAAGTTAGGTGACATACCATTCACGTGTGTACCTAATTTTGCGACACAGCGGTGAGTCGCAATTCCGTCGCAAATATTTAGCGACTCCGTGAATCTGTCGCATATCTGTCGCATAATATCCGCGACGCATAATGTCTGTCGCAAATGTATCGTACACATGTTCCGACCGAAATATCCGTCGCAAATTGTGTCGGTATATACCGACAGACAATCTGTCGTAAAATATCTGTCGTTTTCTGTCGTCACTCTGTCGCAAATTGTTGCGACAGATATATCGGTCGTAGTCGGTCGTAAATTTGCGACAGATTTTGCGTCCAAGTCCGACAGAGATTATTTTCCAAGATTGTGTCGCTTTTTAGTCGCTGTCTGTCGCAAAATATGGTGCGACAGACATTTCGGTCGCAAAAGTGGTCGCAAATTACTGTTTTTCTTATAGTGTCTACGGTTATATAACTAACATTCGGACATGTGTGTTTTGCGACATGTATCGCGTAATGTATTTCCGCTGTCTACTCTGTTTCAAAAAGTGTTTTTGGATTTCGTATTTTTGCTTCCGTTTTATCGAGTTATCTTCTTGATTTTGTCCATGTAGCACAACCTGTATACTGTATACGGGTTACGGGTGTCACAACTCGGGGCATTACAGTTTACTTGTACATTTTGTATGTAAAATGCACAAGAAAATGAGTTTT